GTATTCTGTGAGGCCGTGATCCTTCCCCGGTGAACCGACCAGTTCGTGCTACAACTGTACTACTAATATAGCTGCAGCATGGCTCTATAATGTAAAAAAATATAAAATATGGTTCGAACACTCTACAACCGATGGTGAAGAAAGGTTGTCAAATAGCAACCTCGTACCGCTATATAGAGACTAGACCGAGTGAGGAGGTCCTCAGGACTCCTCTCTCCAGGAGTAGGAGTTGTAGAAGTTGATGACTGCAGTTGGCTAAGGACCATCCTTTTAGGCATTCTTTGGGGAGATATATATTCAGTAGTGGAATCGTGAAGGGCTGTAATGATGACAATTATTTTCAAAATGATCTCGTTTTCAGTGCAATTATTTTAATAAAACCTTTAATTTGAATTAAGTTATTTTAAACTAGACTCTATCCATGAATAATTAATTTATTCACATAGACCTCTGTATTCACCACTATCAGAAGCACAAAGCATCGCCAAGCCTGCTATTTGCCGGTACAAACGGTCGCCTACGGGCACGCTTTGTTATCCTAACAATTACTGGCTCGATGTACACGTTTTGTTTTGTGGTGTGAGTCAATTATCTGAAATACATACGATTTGGTACAATACTAATTTCATTAGATTAGTTAGACAGTAATCTGTGAAAACATAATATCTAATCGTAATTTATTTGGTATGTAATATATTTAATCTGTTCTTTGTGTTATGTTTTTATCTCTGAGAAAGTATTACATCAGGGTTGACCAGTAGAGAATGCCATAAGGCATGAAATCCGCCCTTTGAAATTTTTTTTCTTAAGGTAACAATAAAGTGAAAATATATGAAATAAAACTAAATTATATTATCAAAAAGTTATTGTTAGAAATGAAATTTTTATGGAAGATAAAACAATATTTCGTAGTTTGCCATGTCCAAAAAATAGTTTAGAACAAGGATCTGTTTACGCATTCAGTCTAAATCTCAATAGAAAAAGAGATTTGTGTAAAAATCTATATTTGATACACATACTTGCTATATTCTATTGTATAATATATAAATAAGATTACACTAGCAACACGGGACACCGCGCGGCGGACTGGAGAAGTCTAGCCAGAGTTTTTTTCTGATACAGAACTGTCTGTTATTTTTTGCGGGGAGAAATCTGCCCACACAAAAACAATCGCCTGTAACTACGAAACTCACACAGAACAATTAAATCAATAAACTAACAATTCAAGCACACATAGATACATTATAACAGTATCGCTCGGTAACAGTGACAGCTTGAATGCAGACTCGGATCAGTCGCTCAACCGATCTGCATATTGTATGAGGGCGAGCAGCCTGTGTTGGTAAACAAATCCGAAACAACACGACCGTTATTGTTGTAATTTTTAAATAGCAATAACGTGATTAAAATTACTTGTATGTATATGAAAACAAATGCAATCTTTTTGGAGAAAAAATACTGCACATTTCAGCATTTTTGTCGGACATTGATTTATCCGCGCAAATATACTTAGTCTAGTGAGCAGTGCAGCTGTAATAGGTTTTTTTGTACGCATAGGACCGTGTGGACTTATACTTTGCCAGGTGGGAACTTACTACTCTGTCTGGCTACTCCTTTCGGGGATAAACAAATTCTATGTTAATTTAAGTGTCATACTAGTGATTTTTCTATCTATCAGATAAACTAAATAAAAATCCACATCATTATTTTCTTGAAAATGGCGCAAAAAATTTGAATTACATTTACATTAAGATAATGCTTTACTTTCCAAATTTGTCTAGATAGAAAGAGAATTATTTTTTTAACGCCGAGTAAAGCTCGGTCGCTCAGGTACTAGTCATTGAAGCGTGCAGCAGCGATCGCCTTACCGATTTGCCGGCACTTTCACGCTCCACGGTCTTGCCCGCTGTCGACGATACCTGTCACCGATGACAGGTGTTTTTTTTACATAATTTGGTGGCAAAACTATTATTTATTCGGTGAATACGCAGATTTGCAATTTTATATATTTTTAAAATTTTAATTTTGCTCTCTGTGATAAAAATAACCAGTACTGTTACCTTGTTGAATGACAAATCATTTATAAATGTGTGGTTAAATTTCTTACTGTTTGACTGTCTGTTATGTGGATTGAAGGGTGTACGAGAAAGATTGAGTAATAATATGTACTCACTGAGATGGTAAGATAAATTCAAGAAAACAAAGTTCGATATATACGCATAAATGTCAATGGCATGTCTCTATTAATGACGAATATCCCACCTGGTCATAAGAGGTGATGCAGTCGAAGATGGAACTGCACACTAAGCTTGACAAAGCCAAATAAAGTGCTTTGAAGACACCCACGTTTTAATCGGATGAAAACATCTATTGAACATTTATAAGTACATCTGAATAAATAGATTTAGGTCGAAATGTAAGTCGTCCAGTCTCCAAGAAACATATTATATATCTAAGAGAGTTGAGAGAGCTAGGTTACTGTTATTTTTCCTTAATAAGATTTCAAATCAAAACCTTTTTCAACGAAAAACAAAAGGCGGCTCACCTAGAGATAATAAGGTTACTGTTACTCTGTTGTTATAAGAACGTCCCAGGCTTGCTAATCTTTCGATCGAAATTAAAATTCCATAACTCCTATGTAGTTATACTGTACTTCAAGAAAAATGCTCAAAGCCACCTAATTGGATACAGACTACAGACCACTACAAAGGGGGATGTTTGAGATAAAAATGAAAATTAAATCTTCCACGCGGATGGGCAGAGTAATGTTTTTGACGGTACTGAGGCGGGATTCCATCCCCTCCCTCCCCTGTTGCCAGTCGGGGGAGGATGCCGCAAATCGACTATCAAAATGCTGGTAAAAAAGTTATGTTTCCACGCAGACAGTGCGACCGGCTGTTGTAAGCTTTCTGTCCTTTTTGGCGGCGGTTTGCGGTGTTTTTTTATTATTTTTGTCTGACGCTAGTGGAGACGAGGCTATTTTTTCAGGCTATAGGGTTTGTAATTTCTTTTTAGATGTAATACAATGTGAAATATTTAAAAATCGCATGACTTTGAAGTATGCAGTATTATTTAAAAAAAGTTGTAATTAAATGCACCAATTTCAACATTATAATATTGTCAATTCGTTTTAAGAATCTTAAAGGCAGATTCTACTGTTTATAAGAAAATGTCGATGATGTGTGTGTATGTATGTGTATGTACAAGTATATGTTGAACTTTCTTGAGAACAAATACGTGTATCGACACCAAACAAAAATACTTTCATTCGAAGTGCATTATAATCACTTGATTATGTTTATTTATATTGGTTATTTTTCAAAAATTATGTGATAAAGTCCCAGCAGATAGTTTCCTTTCCTTCGTTGCGGGTCTTTAGTATTTAGTTTCTAAGGGCACAACGAAGTCACTTATTATTTACTTAATTATGTAGACATTATGGAATATTTTGGAATTGTTTCAGAACAATATTCTACTTATTTATTAGCCTGTATTAGTCCAGTGCTAGAATAGAATAGAATATTTATTTATTTGCATTAAATGTAGGTATTCACGTTAAGGTGTAGATAGAGTACATAAGAGATCCGTACATTCTAAAATTTTGGCATGCAAATATATGGCCGGTCCATTGCCACTTCGGATGGATTCGGTGGGATATATCAATACATATTCGTATATAAAAAATATATATATTTACGATTAACAATTTTTGCGACGTCGACGAGAATCGAAATCGATCTGAGTAGAATTTTAAGAGTAGTCTTTGAGTATCGAAATGGAACTATAAATTGATATTTGATATCAGATTTAATTAATTACGCATTGAAAGTGCAATAAATATAACTTCGATTTAGATATTACTGGTCGTATAACCACCATGTACCAATTCCGTATGCGTACCATAAGATAAGGCGAGCGTCTAGCGTCTGCGATTACAAGGGTTAAAATATATATATAGAGAATTAAAAAACTTCTTTGGTATACTGAATTAAGTTATTAGTAAAATTTGATAAAATAAAAAATATGTAAGTGGATGCCTATCTTTATATATATGATTCTTCTGTCCTTGTGTATGTGACTGAACTCTTTATAAACGGCAAGACTGATTTCATATAATACTATAATACATACATAATAGAACGGGGGAATGGGCGGAGTCCGTGTACCCACTAAAATGCCACTAACACGTCGATTCACACGTATAAATGTCAACACGAGATGTGTTTTGACGTTACAATCGTTTCCAAATTTCGCATGCAAATTATTTAGAAAATGCCAAACACGCTATTTACAAATAATATGTAACCGGATACGAGCTTTCTCGGTTTTTTTGAATACATTTAGAGCAAATTACATACTGATGAATAATATTTTTTGATCTTATTGACATAATAAAAAAACTGAACTGGTTATTTGAATAAAAAATCATGAGTGCAATTAATTTAATTAAAATTTTCGTATTTTTAAAAACTACTAAAAAAGGGGCTCGAAATAATAGATTTTCTCACAAAAGAAGGTAACTTGAAAAAAAAGGAAAAAAATTGGTCCATAAACAGGACGCGAACCAGGCCATTACGATTTCGCGACTGCTCGTTATCCACTTGAGCTATTACGATCATTAACATAGTGTCTTATATTGTAGCAGTTTTTCATTGCCTGAAAAGACGGACAAAAAACATTTTCTAAAAATAAATCCTAGCTAGATCGATTTATTGCCCCCTAAACTCCCTGGACACTAAATTTTATGAAAAATGCCTTTTTTTTTTTGACTCGAGAATGATTTAAATTCACAATCGGACCTGGTAGGTCGCTGTTGTCGAGATCCAGAGACCACCCGTGAGAAGCCGGGTCGGATCGGTAGTAAACTTCTATATCTATCATCGATTTAGAATCAAAATGCAAATCTGCGATGATCCCTGACGACGAAGATAAAATGCCTAGTCATTAGTTAAAAATAAATAAGACTCTAAAGTAAATAATTTTTGTTAACTAAGACTCACCTTTCTTCAGCGTAGGTATATCTGAGCCGCAGCTGATAGTCTGTGGGCCCGGACTTAGGCTGTGTAATTGATATGGCGGAGTCCTAGTGTCGATTTGCGCTGGCCAAGGCGCCCTTGGCCACGCGGGCGTCGATCCCGGAGCACCAAGCAATCGTAGACGCTCGTATACAGGAGTGGAGCAATCGGAGTTGGTCTGCTGGTTACTTGACTTCTCCTTCTGCGCCGCCAGGTTGCGAAGAACTCGGTTAATTGAGGATACCTGATAACAATGTAAGTATTATGTTACAAAGTGAAAGATTTAAGTAAAACTGTTCACTTAAAAGCATTAAGCATAAGATAATAAAAAAAAAAAAAAATAAATTTTATTTCCCATTACAATCACTAAAACAAAGAACATTATAATAGAGACAAAAAGTTAAAGATCAAACCCCCCCTGGATAAAGTAAGGCTCCCCATTTACTTGACTATCACCTCTGCTCATCCAGTGGGTGTCACAAGTAGCGGCTTAAGTTAAGGAACTAAAAATTTTGTGGTTTTCGACAAATGGCGGTACAATCATGAAGTATTTCCACCAGATGTTAAATACCCGGTCTGACGGTGGGAAGCAACATCATTAAAATTGTGGGTCTGTTTTTGTTTTTATTTTCTTTGTGATTTTTCTGTTTTAAATTTAATAAAAGTTTTTCTCTTCGCTTGCCTATCAATTAAGCCTTTTTATACGATATTTATAGAAAGTCAGCGTGTCGAAACGAGTTATAACCACCACCGCAACCTTTTTTTTTTTTTAAATTTAAAAAATTTTTTTTTTTAAAATTTAAAAAAAAATTTATTTAGAAGTCATTATTGATAGCTAAAACTGAGAGTGAAAATGGGCGAATGAAGATGAAAGGGATCATCTACGCAGCAACCTATACCGTAATCTGAAAGAAAAAGCGTTGGTTTACGTTTCGGTGAAAGTTAAAATATTTTGTGACGCAGACAACATCTTCTACTAATTGGCGAATTTTTTTTAATCATTATTAAATAACAATAATAATGATGGGTCAGATTAAGAGTACCCTTAACCACCTAGCATGTATGCGTAGTATGGATGTAAAGGTGAGAGGGGTGTGTCAGGATCGTGCAAATGAAAGTTCGTGATATAGTATATGATATTAAATAACTTAGTCAAAAATTTGCTGTGTATTCGAACTGGAAGCTCTACATAGATAAAAACCAATTAAAATCTAGGATTCAAAAGTAATTTAAAACATTATATTTTTTTGATTAGACATGATTCTTTATTATTTGTCTTCGTCACATAAAAACATGAACTCGTATGACCGCAGGAATCCTGTTATTATTTCAACGTTTTTATAAAAACATCTTAAATATAAAATTAATACTACGAATACCTACTAACCTAGGATAAATGTTAATAACTATAGCTTTACTTTAAAAAAATACAATTTAACTTATTACACTAGTACTAGAGTTTACTTAAATAAATAAAAAACATTTGGAATTATTTAAGTACAAAGTCTACACTTTTCTATAGAATACGGGTGACAAACGAGCCACACAGTCCGCCTAATGGTGTGTTGCTGAGGCTCCATAGACACTACATCCATCCTCGATTAAGAATAAAAATCCATATGCGTTTTTACCCCTGAGAACTTTAATCATTTTCTACACTCACCACAACAGAATTAAGCTGCCATTTTACGCTGTTATTTTTTTATATAATAGGGCGTAAACGAGCATACATGAAAGACTGTAACACCAGAGGAATTGCAGGTGTGTAAAGTGGTAATCATTTATCATCAACTTAAGAAAAGAAAAACCACACATGTTTCGTCAGTTCTGATAACTAATCTTATTTATCCTTCAACAGCGGTTGCACTATATATTCTTGTCGGAGAATTTTTTTAATTTTTTTTAAATTTATTCTTATAAAGAGTGTACATTATTTACATTTTAAATTTTGCCAAACTGTAAGCCAGTTTGTCGGCAAATGTATTATAATTGTATTATAGAGTAGCACTATTATTTTTTCTATATCAAGATTCGCCATCTAAATAGCTTGTGGGGACTTTGTTTATGTATGTATTGATTTAGATTTGCATTCAAAAAGTATATAAGTAGTCAAAAACAGGAGTCCATTTATGGTTTTGTTAGGAATCAAAAGGACATTTTTAATATTCTTAATATTAATATTATATTATTTTTAATATTATATGAGATAAGACTATGGCTTCAATGTCCATCAACTATAGTTCCATGTTTCTGTCAGCATTTTGTTATCTCTGCCTGTATGTTAAATAAATGTGTATTTGTTATCAGATTAATAACATTAGTTATTAGTTACGTAAATAATGTAATCGTCTATTTATATCCATCCATCCATTATAGCCTATAAAAGTTCACTGCTGAACATAGGGCTCCCTCAAAAATTGCGTCATGGGGCGATTTTGCCATAGTTGGCACGCTTGGCAAGCGGGTTGGCAACCGCAGTTTTTTTATTATTTTCATTTGTTATTAAGAAGATGCTGCTGCCCATCTCCAGTTTCATAAATTTATATACAAACAAAAATTTATTTTTTAAAGATTAAGAATGTTGCCTAATAAAAAATAAATGTGGTACTTTTTATAACGGAAGATGCGTTGACAATCTTGTGTTTGAAAGAATGGTCATGTAATCCCATCAGACTAATAAAACAGGTAAGTCTCTAGGCAACTGTGAGCTACCGGTATTTAAAATCGAATTATAAGGACTATTAACTTAATGCGCCGTGAACACTCGAAAAACCATAAAAACTTATTTAAACCCAATCGAATGAGAAACACACAATGGTAGGGGATATTGTTTATGTGCAAATCTAAAAGAATTAATTCGTGTAAACATATACAAACAAATTTTAGTAAAAGGGTTATTTACTAATTGGTGCATTAGGCGAGTACAATCGTAGAAACCAGTCAATGGATGTGTGTAATTCGAATTAAGGGACTGTTTACAGGTCTGTTTCTTATATAGAGCTTTTTTTAAACGGCCAGAGTACAGATGTATTTCACACATGACCACACTTTTGCGCAAGTTCGCCGTTTATATTATCGTATTTTTTATTTGTTTGACGTAAGTTTAGTAAAAATAATAAAAAAATAGCATAATTACGTAATATTTTTGTAGGGCAATTTTTGCTTATTGCTTATAAAAAATTAAAATTAAAATTTAAATAGTCAATCAAAATGGCTTTGTTGTATGCTTGCTGTCGTGTTGCTGTAGCAAATACTGATGTGCCTATAATATGTATTAGTTGTAGTGGCTACTACCATCTGCAATGTGTGTCTGCATCATCCAAAAAAGACCCAACACTTAGCAATGGGTCAGATTGGACCTGCCCAGCGTGTTTGTCAAAGCAACCTAAAAAAGTTAAAAGGGATAGTACACCTGTCCGCATTCCAGCGCATAAGCAATGCGACACCGACAGTCTTAATGTTACATTGCGAAATAAACATTCGAAGAATAAGTCCCCCACTACTTCGCCAGTGTCAGGGATAGAAAAATCTGCTGACTCTTCTTGCGACCTACGGGGTTTTATAAGGCAAGAGATTTCAGGGCTAAAAAGAGATCTTGAATTTAGTTTTAAGAACTTTATAAACTCCGAGCTTAAAATCATTAAGGAAGAGGTACAGGAAATAAAAATGTCCTTAACTTTCATTAATAATAAGTATGATGAGATGAAAGAAAAATTTGAAATATATGATAAAAGCCTAACGTCGGTAAATAGTATGTGTAATGACATAGGTATACTAAAATCTTCACTGGAAAAGTTGGAGCATGAAAATAATGTTAGAGACCAATGGGCACGGCGTTCCAATATTGAAATTTGTGGCAATCCCGAGAAGAAGAACGAAAATCTTTTCGAAATTATTGAGAATATATCGAAGCACGTTAATTTTTCTTTTACCAAATCGGATATTGATTTTATAACCCGCGTTGCACCATCTACCAAGGAATCCAAAAAACCTAAACCAATTATAGTGCGATTTATATCGAGGTATAATAAAGATGACTTTCTGTGTAAGGCAAAGATATTTAAAAGCTTAAAAGCATGTGATCTTGGTTTTCCTGGTACTCAATCTTCGATATTTTTCAACGACCACTTGACCAGTTTAAATAAATCTTTATTGCGCCAGGTGAAAATTAAGGCTAAGGATAATAACTATAGATTTGTATGGGTTAAAAACTGTAGTATTATGGTTAGAAAATCTGAATCTAGTCCTATTTTACACATAAATAATATGACGGATTTATTCAAAATAAAAAAGGAATTATTACATTAATTACTGTAATTAATTGTTATTTTAACTATACTATGGCTTATGATATGTTATTTGCATTACTGTTGGTAGTTGTCCAATTTGTTTTAAATGTTATATATGATAAACTTATTTTTATTTTTATGGTTGTTCTCTTTTTCGTTTCAAACGTAATGTATGATAGGCTTATTTTCATTGTGCACGAGACCTTGACACATTCGGTGATAGTTTTAATTTCATATTATTTAATTTATACAGTTACTACAACATTTAAATACATTTTTGTTTATACACTTCTTTCTAAAGTATGTACGACATATATATATTTACATCAGTATAAAATTCGGTTCTAATTTAAAAATTTACTATCAAAACGTAAGGGGTCTACGTACTAAGACTGACTTGCTTTTCAGAAAGGTCTTATGTCATGAATACGATATAATCTGTTTCACTGAAACTTGGTTACATTCGGGTATATTCGACTTGGAACTATTTGACGCACGGTATTACGTATATAGAAGCGATCGTAACTACAAAGTCAGAGGTGATACAATGGGTGGAGGAGTTCTGATTGCAATGAGACGTAAGCTAAAGGTCACTAACGTTGAATGCATCCCGTCAATGGATTCAGCTGCTGACGTGATTCGTGTTTCTATTTCATTTGAACGACATACACGATGCAACATATATTGTTGTTATTTTCCACAATGTCGAATTCATAAAGATGTGTTGTCAAACTTTTATGAACATATCTCTGATGAAGTTCTCTCTTACCCTGATGACTGCTTCATTATATTAGGAGATTTTAACATACCTAACGCAATCTGGTCGAAAAATAGTAATGCTGATGTGACCTTACATGGAGATTTTTCATCGGATACAGTTAATGAACTAGCAAATTTTCTTTCTTTTAATAATTTTAGTCAGTATAATATATTTAAAAATTTTAAAGATCGTATTTTGGATCTCTTAATAGCCAACATTAATTGCAAAGTCAGTTTAGCAACTACTCCAATAGTTTTAGAGGATTCGCACCATCCAGCTTTTGAGTTTACAATTTTAAAATCACATGAGAAACTACTCGAGGCTCGGGCTCACACAGTCAAGTTATATAGAGATGCCGATTATGAGGAAATAAATATAAATCTTTCGCAAATAGACTGGGAATCTAATTTGAGTGACGGTAATATCGATGTCTCTGTGTCGAATTTTTATAACATTTTAAATAATATAATAGAAAAACACGTACCTACTAAAACTATTAAATTTAACACTAAGTACCCAATTTGGTATAATAGCGCATTGATTAAAATTGTAAATGAAAAATTAAAATTTCATCGCAAGTGGAAGGTGTATAAACAGGATAGTGATTACAAGTCTTTTGCCATACTAAGAGAGAGACAAAAAATTATGGAGGACAACTGTTATAACAAGTTTATCAATAATGCTGAATATAAGATTGGTATTAATAGTAAATTCTTTTGGTCTTTTGTAAAATCAAAACGAAAATGTAATGATTTTCCTGACATAATGTTTCTAGATGATAATACGACTTCAGATCCTGTGAAAATATGTGATTTATTCAATACTCATTTTAGCTCAGCTTTTAGTGTTAATAGTCCAAATCATAATACTCAGATTTCTAACTCCGCTCACTCGATTAGTATAAATTCGGTCACTTTTACAGTTCCTCAAGTTTCAATGTATTTAAAACGCTTAGATGTCAGTAAGGGACCAGGACCTGATGGCATTCCACCCTTGTTTTTACAAAGATGTTACCGTCAATTAGCTAAACCATTAACAATTTTGTTTAGAACTTCCATGAAGTTGGGTGAAATGCCTTTAGAATGGAAAAAATCGTTCATAACCCCCATATTCAAAAGTGGTAATAAGCACGACATTTCAAATTACCGTCCAATTTCAAAATTAAACTCGATTCCAAAACTATTTGAGAAAATTATTTATGACACACTCTCCCAAATAGCTCGACCAATTATAATTCCTGAACAACATGGTTTTATAGGTTGAAAGTCTACAGAAAGTAATCTTTGCGAGTTTCTTGATCACCTCTATATTGCAATGGATAGTGGACTGCAGGTAGATGCAGTGTACACCGATTTTACAAAAGCATTTGACAAAATTTCACATAGTATTCTGATACACAAATTAGATCAAATCGGTGTACATGGTGATTTACTTCGATGGATATCTTCTTATCTTAGAAATCGTAGTCAGGCAGTTGCAATAAAAGGACACTGTTCATCTTTTCTCCCAGTTTGTTCAGGTGTTCCTCAGGGTTCGCATCTTGGTCCACTACTGTTTATAATATTTATAAATGATGTAATATCCTGCTTCCATAATTCCAAAATTCTCCTTTTTGCAGATGATATAAAAATTTTCAGATCTATTAAATCTATAGAAGACTGCAATCTACTTCAAGAGGATCTGTGTAGGCTTAGCTCATATTGCCAAGCAAATCATATTTACTTGAACATCAAGAAATGTAATATTATCTCATTTACTAGGAAAAAGAATCCAATCCTCTTTAACTACAAGCTCGACGATAATTTACTAAAGAGAGTAAATGAACTGCGTGATCTTGGTGTTCAGTTGGATAGTAAGTTGTTACTGAGATCACATATTAATATAATAACTCAAAGAGCTTATAAAATGCTAGGTTTTGTGATGCGTATCTCAAAAGATTTTAAAAACTCTACAACATTAATTATACTATTTAATACTCTGGTGCGATCTATTCTTGAATATTGCTCTTCATGTTGGAATCCTCAATACAAAGTTTATGTTAAAATGATTGAAACAATCAATAATAAGTTTCTGCGTCACTTAAAGCGATATGATTCTTCCGTAGACTCCTTTATTGATAGCTTACACAGTTATACACTCGAAAAACGCCGTGATATAAGAGATCAAATGTTGTTGTACAAATTGCTACATAATATCATCGACTCACCCCTACTTTTAAGCAAAGTGAATCTTGCGTGTCACCGGTTAGGTGCACGAAAAAAAGCCTCTTTTTGCATTACGTAAAGTAAAAACGAAGTACGCTTCTAATAATTTTGTATCTCGTACATGTAAAAAAATTTTAACTTAAAATATTGTGAACTAGATATTTTTCACCTTAAATACAATAGTTATAAAAAAAATATTGTAAAACTTAATTTATAATTGGTAGCTTCACTATAGGTCGTGTGTATTGTATTACTTTTATTTTATGCTTAGAACTTAATGTTTAATTATAAATCCATTTAGGTATTTTTTTTTTCAATCTTTAAACATATTGTGGTTGCAAGCTTTTAATATGTTTTAGATATCTGTGGAAACTTCATTGGTTTTAGGATTACTTTTATATGTTTTATAATGTATTTTTTTTATTGTACTGTATGTTTCCCTGAAAAAGCAAATAAATAAAAGCAAATAAATAAATAAATATTATGATTTATTTTTCCAACGAAATAGAATAGAATTATTTCAAATACTAGTGATCAATACTAGCGATCTGCCCAGTTTCTCAGGGGCGATATCTGGATTCTACGAGTACAACAGCGCCATTTACCGGGCCCAACTATGCTTTATAAATTTTTATATATAGTATTAACAGAATGTTCATTACAATTGTTGATAAAACCATTTTTGTTTTTGTGTACATACATTAAATTTTCGTAATTAAACTGAGAAGCAAAAGTTAACACGATTATATTTATTTCTTTGAAATTTTCTCTAAGAGATTGCTTCGGACCTAGGTAATAAATAGATTTTTTTTTTAAATAGGATAGGGTGACAAACAAGCACACAGTCCACCTAATGGTAAACGATTACGAATCAAAATGCAGATGCGTTGTCATGCGTAGGGACTAAGATGTAATGCCTCGTTTCCAGTAAAAAGGGTATCCGGTTCTCTACACTCACCATACAAAACACAGCGGTATTAAGCTATTATTTTACGCTGGTATTCTGTGAGAGCGTGGTCCTTCCCCAGTCGATTCGACCCATTCATGTTACACTATACTACTAATATAGCTGTAGAACAATAAAACCACGTTTTATGGCTGTCTTTTGGAAAATAAAGTTAATTTAAACGTCAGTAACATTAACCCAAGATTCTATACTTATGATATTTTTCGTTTCAACATATTTAAGGAGTTTAATCTTTTACAGCATAATGTGCTGCAGAACTATATTTGCTAGCTGCTTTAAATATATTTTACGTGGTAGAGCCACGCTGCAGCTGTATTATAGCTGTAGCACTTTTGTTTGCTTTTCGATTTCTAATTGAATATAAATGACGATATCTATAGGCCACAGCATACACTTACCATCAGGTGGACTGTGTGCTCGTTTGTCACCCGATGCTATAAAAACAAAATATATGGGTGCCCCATTGAAGCTTAAAATAGGAGATTAATGGGGTAAAATGAAATAAATATATATATATTTAAGATTTTCTTAAATAGATAATTGGACGTAAACATTGATTAATTGTTTATACCTTGTTAAGCGGAGTAAAAGAGACAAGAGTTGCTATTAGCGAACAACATTTAATTGACACAAATCATTAGCCTCTAACTCTTTATTAATTCCTACAGTAGCTTGTTAAAAATTTCCATTTCATTTTGTCAAAGAACTCGCGACAAATAATAAGCCTTTCAAGGAACGTTCATATTTCTAGTCGGACGGCTAAAGTAACTCTTAAGTACACTTATTTTCATTTAGGCACCTTGTTATAATTTTCTAATCGAACAAATATATCTTAACTTTAAAAACAGCTCTAGCCTTTTAGATGACTTAAATTTGAAGTTATAACTATTATTTCAATATAGGAAAAGGTAAAAAATCATCTTATCCGACTTACAGACAGGCCTTTGATTAGCTTTTAAGGCCTCTCATGTATGTAGTATCTAGCATACGGAGCCACGGTAGCTCAAATCGCTTGGCGTTAATTTTACAGTACGCGAGCATATTGGGTTTGAGTGCTATTTACTTCGTGCTCGGCGGCGAAGAAAAATATCGTGAAAGGATGAGGAATAAAATATTTCAAGGACATGTGAAGTTCACAAATACACGCTGTAACAGGGCAGTGGACTGAACGCTCCGTTACCCTTTCGGAATGAAAGTAGGTCTGTGCCCAGCAGTGGAACTTGGAGTTGGAATTATAGAATGAGTGTACTGTACGCATACTGTATAAAATTCGCATCGTCACTTCAGTCGAAAGATCTGAGTCAGTTAGTCAAAAGATCTATAAATCCTTCACGTGCTTGTGTGTATCTTTGAATATACTACAATTACAATAATTTGATCTCCTCCTGGGTTTTGTACAGATGCTTTGATAAGTGAATGCAAGGAATCTAAGCTCGAAGACAGAAATAAATTTGAGGGCTAGACCTAGAAGTCAAACTTTTGAGGAACAAGAAAGGGGTTTTTCAATAGCAAGGACAGTAAAAAAGAATACGCAGTACCCTTGCTCACCATTATCATCAGTCCAATGCTAGATCCTTGCTCAAATCGGGATATATCCAAGAACGAACAAGAGACTATGCAGTTCTGAAAAAAAAATTGTTTAGTCTTGAAGTCGCAATAGGTACCTTTTTATGATCATTTTTGTATAAGTTTATGGAGCGAAGCAGGCAAAAAGAAACAATAATTATTTCAAAATTTATAACTCATTTTCGATCTACAATTTGCATCATTAAAACTCGGTATTGATCGGATTAAAAAAAAACGGTTAATCGAAACTGTCAACCGTCAAGTCGATCATAGAAAAAAGTTTTTGTTTTTTAAAATCCACATTCGTTCGTCGTACGTGGCGCGCTTTCTCGGTCCATCGGGCATCGCGTCAGCTGCCACTCACCGCGCGGCGAAGACCACCGCGCGACCACGTCTCGTGTTACCATCTATCGTCTTACGGCCTTCCTGCCCTACGTCTAAGTTACGCGCTACGTCCGTTCGGCGCGCTGTCATATGTCCGTATGACAGTTGGTAGACTGGTGGGACATTTTTGGTTTTCCTTTACCTTCTGGGTTTGGGTGGCCTGTCGTATCGCAAATGATATTTTGCTTTGTCATTATACCTTTAAATTTTACTTCGGTTAATTAATTTTATTTTTAGCAAGAAGATATTTGTTATAGCTTACAAAGCCGTTGTTATTATTAATGATTATGATCATATTACATTTACAATTACATCATGGTGATAATTAGTTGGCCAACGCTGTGACAGATCAATGGCAAGAAGTTTTTACGTTGAAATTATTTCCAATATAGCCACCGCGTTATGCGGTTGCAAAATGACATTTTAATTATAATAATAAAATATCTTTATTAATTAAAACTACTTTTACGGATTTCATCGCGTTTAATATATATAAGTTTCAATTCCCGACGTTTTAGGTGCTTTCCAGCACCCATGGTCAGTCACGGGGGACTGAGGTGACTGACCTCTCGATATCAGCGTTAACCCGGAGTACCTTCAGCTTTTTAATTATTATTATTAATATCCGCTAGCGTAAAGATTCAAAATATCTAAAGATATTTTGATTTCTTATATAATTTAATTATCTAAAAATTAATGGACAACCAGGGGTTATTTTCATTTATATATTCTTTGACATTATGATAACCATTTTTGTAAAGTTTTTCTTTAATAAGACATTTAAACTTGTTTAATGACAAATTTTGTACATTTTCTGGGATTTCGTTGTAAAAGCGTATACCTCGCCCCATAAATGAATTACTAATTCTGTGGAGTCTGGTAACTGGTATTACAAGCTTATGTTTGTTCCTAGTGTTTAAAGTACGAACCTCTTTATTCTTAAAAAAGCTGTTTATGTTTTTATGTTCTATGTACACTGCCTCAACAAGCCTGTTCACTCTTGACTAGAAGATACCCACATTGTAATGGGTTGGAAAGATAGATGCTGGCAATTTATTCCACTCCATTGTTGTACGCATGAAGAGTGATGAACTGTAATGATATTAATAGTCAAATGACAATCAATACACATCAGTTTGCCGTAGGGAATCATTCTGCAACTGCTTTAAGTTTTTGTTACAATAACAGTTTGTAACCTTAAATATTTAAAAAAAATAAGGCACTTATTAGGGGCATTTTTGCAATAGTTGCCAGGCTTGGCGGGCGAGTTAGTAACAGCAGTTTTTATTCAGTATTGTGAGCATACCGACTGTTACGACATCTATGAGATAACATGATGCTGCGACTATTGTTTGTATTCTTTTTTAAATATTTTATTGTAATTATTTTGTTTGTCAACAGTTGTGTTATTTTTTCGTTCTTGTGCAGTTGAACAATCGACCATTTCTCAACACACTTCTTTCCTTCCGTTTATATCTTTATTTAAAATATAATTCATTAATTACAAATCCGACGTTGATACTTCAAAAACTGATTAATGCAGGACTTTCTGCTTGTTAATATTTTCTAGCTATTGCTTTCAAATCTAAGAATTTTCGTGTTCGCAATTATTAAAATAATATATTTAGTATTGAATTCTAGTTTCAAAAAGAATTTAATTATGACATTGCTACTCATACCTTAACTGAGTTTTCTTATCCCCTTGAATATAAGGACGTTCTTCATTAAATTATGCGAGTTCTATGGAAACCCGTCGTGATTTCGTTCATGAGAACGCACCTAATAAATAAATCGCCGCATATCATTTCACTCTTAAATGATTCCGAATACACAATTGAGTAGGGCCGAGCACCTTAGACTGGAGTAATACTGTGCCCCAACAGAACGCCCCCTGTGACGCGTCACAATAATACACATTTATTGACAAACTGCCTATAAGTCTCAATCAAACAATGGAATTTCTGTATAAATCTATTGACCCATTTCTTTGATTGCACACAACAATACTTGAATCAACAATTAAATTTAAATTTCACATCGTGGGAATGGCGCGAATTAAGTGAGTTGACTCGCGCTGTCATCTAACGTCTGAGCGCCTGGATTCTTTTTTTTTCTTAAACGATGGGTGTGTCACGATATACTTGCGGTCTTTCTTTCTAGACGGGGCGGTATGGTGGCATGCTTTATTTTAATTGTTCGAATTTTTTTTTCTCTGAAATATTTTGAATTTATCGTAGTATGTGTTCTACATTCTAGAGAATGCATTGTATAAAAACGTATAGAATATTTTATTAATTAAAACTGAAATATTATAATTATCAATACAAAAATTTAGTCACGAATTGTAATAATTTTAAAAATAAAATTTCACCTTTTATTGTTAAGTATTAAAAAATAAAGGCCAGTAAATCGTCCGAAGATTTTGTATTGTTCATTTCATATCTCGCCTGTACTGTTAAATTAAAAAATAACTAAAAATATCGTAAATCCAGTGTTTTGTGGTGATAAAAAATAGAAAAGGGTTACCATTTGCTAATAATAGCATTTAAGTAAATTGTTAATAAGTGTCAACCGTACAGAGGCGGTACGGTGCTAGAATATCCACTAACCCTTATCCTCCCATGGGTGCCGTAAGACACGATAAATGTAAACGAACCAGGAGATGGGAAGCAGTATATTTCCGATAACAACTCAAATAATAAGAAAACTGCCGTCGCCAACCGGCACTGCAACGCGAAATGGCCAAATCCCGCCTACAAGGCAATAAATGGGGGAAGCTTATGTTCAGCAGTAAATTTTATAGATTGTAATAATAATAATAATGTCTACCAGACCGAATCCCGGCCACGGCGGCCAGCCTCAACGCAGACTAGCCATCGGCGCAGAACAGGATTATAGTGTCCAAGCGTATGCGCAAGCACAAGTGCACTCTTTATTCCCTCACTCTCATAATCCGATGAGACGGTAAACCGACACGACCGGAGAGAGATCAGGCGCAGGACCAACGGATTTACGTGCTTTGCGAGGCACGGGGGTGAGACACCGCCAACTTCCTGACTCCGGGCAACTACTGAGAATTTCTTGACAGAAAAACTCAATAATTGATTTTTGGCCCGACCCAGGATTCGAACCCAGGACCTCAGGATCAGTAGTCGCAATACTACAACCACTAGACCAACGAGGCAGAGTAAATATTCGATTAAAATATTTCTTATAGATGAGTTAAAACTTAATATTATCTTGGGGTGCAAAAACACCCATCAACGTAAAACTACACATTGTGAGTCGAAGGAAGGAAGGAAGTATTAGTTGTAAGTTCCATGCAATACTTTAGGTTGTTATCGCATGCTTTCAACTTTCAGGCCATAATTGGGTTTCGATCGTACGATAAAAGATGCGACTTCATTGCGTAGTGAAAAAGATCATGCGATGGTCCAACAGATGTCTAAAAGAACTAATAGCTAATAGCGGGATGCGTATCGAGTGATGACGCTACTCCGCCAGGCCGTCACCGCAACGGCGCCATTTCAACTGGCTGTTTATTGAGATGCATAGTTTTTTTTTTCTCTTTTAAGTCTCATAAGTCTCTAATCGTCTCTAACTCGACTCACCGGTGACCTTGCGTTGCTGTGCATGCGCGATGACGCGTGACCAATTTTGTCCAAATTGGTCAAAAGAGCTCAAAAGAGATTTGTAACTTTTTACATTGTAAGGTACGTGAAGGTAATATGGTCACATTAAGCTTTGCTGCCCTATAAAACCAAAAGTAAGAGGAGACCAGAGACAAAAACACAAAGTAATATACTATAACTAATGTATTAAGAAAACAAGAGCAAATAAGCTTTAACAATAATATAGAAATATAAAGAGCAAATAAGCTTTAACACTTCGAAAAATCAACTTAAAAACGTAACTACGCTACACACTACTAAAATCGACTAAAATATTTACTATAATTTCAACTGTCAAAATGGCGTCGATAAAGCAGCGCCATTTTGACACTTTATCATTTGGTTGACTGATGAAGAGCTATCGTATCACACAGACGTCTATGCAAACAAAGCTGTAGTTTTTGAGTTATAAGAAAGTGACGATATTAACCAGATGACCATATTACCCTCACGTACTTTACGATCAAACCCTTCGTACGATTATTATTAAGCATTTCTTGTGCTTGCGCGATCACTTTTAAGCTTCAGTTAGGACACTCTATACAAATGGGTGCGTTCGGCAGAAAAAAGCGCTAGCAAGCGCTTGTAAGCAAAATGGCGATCGTAAGCGGTAAGCGCTGTCAAATCGTAAGTAGCTATTTTCCTCCAGGACACGATGTTAGTTTTAACCGGGGAATCTAACCTAATTTAAATATATGTTTGTAAAGTATGCATATTAAAAACTTACCAATCATGAGTTTTTAATAGCATGTATATGTTTATTCATGTCATTATATTACTTAAAACTAATATTGCACAAAACAACTTATAAACTCTACTTCAAAACAAACAAATTAAATAAGCAAAATGGCGGATTGTGTCAGCGCTACTGAAGTAGCAATCGTGTCCTGGCCGAAAACTATTTTAGCGCTTATAAGCGCTTGCTAGCGCTTTTTTCTGCCAAACGCACCCAATGTGTGTGTTTTATCTCGTCGAAATCTATTATGCGACGAAATCGTATCGTTTGCTCGTACAATCGTAGCCAATTAAGACAACGCCTAAAAGGATGCTATCGCAAGCTCCCAACTTTAGCAGGATGCTACTGTATGCTATAAGCAATCTATAGTAGTTAAAAATAATGTAATTTACTATCGTCTTTACTCTTACCGTTACGCCCTTTCACACGTTCACTGATGAACATAGGCCTTTTTCATACATTGCCTAATTGGTATTTAGCCATGGTTAGGGGGGATATTTGTCATAGTAGCCAGTTGCCACGCTTGGCAGGTGAGTTGGCAAGTTGGCAGGTTTTTTAGAAGTAATTAGAAGGACGCTGCTGCCGATCTCCTGTTTCTCTCTGCTGCGTCCTACGTCACCAACGATATGAAGAAAATATACCTTCAAGATGAAATGGATATCCGGTAACTATCCGGTATTCGGCCATTACGGCCTAAAATTACTATCCGGCCGGATTAAAAAAAAACCAAAATATCAAATTTAGTTAAGTAATTCATTTATGTCACTTAACAAATATAATCAGTAAT